CAAGTTCTTGTCTTGCTTCTTTTGCCTATCAGTAATCACCGTAAAAGTAAATTTCTCGCACTTTATAAGTTTTATGATATATACGTAGATTTATCCAGTCAAAGCTGACCCTATCGCGAGTTATAAAGAACGGAGAGGAAAACCAATTTTGTATGAACATCTAGGGATGACCGGTTTACCAGTTTCGTACCTTTTCTAAGCTTTCGCCATTACCTTTATATTCTGCGGCTTTTAAGCGAAAAGAAGCTGAATTCACAGAATTAGAATCTCGGAATGAATCTAGATTGTCCTATATGCAAGGGGTTAATCTTATCTGTTGTTTTTTGCAGGGTAAACGTGCTAAACTCGAACGGACGTTTCTTTGTTGAGGGTTTTTTCCTCATCTCCCCTCCTAAGATTTTCGTTTTTAATTTCCTCCTCTCGGCAATATCACTGGAAATGTTTTGGCAGATTTGCATGTTTCGTTTTGGCCCAGTTGTGAAAAACGCAGCATTATCAGTGGGGCTCCAACCCATGAAAACAACTACAAGACTTACAGTAGGTGGGCTAACTCATAAAATGTCGGCCGAAACTTTGAAATGCGTTCCCGTTTCGAAAAGATTAATTATGGTTGTAAAACTTATCAGCATCCAGCATAATTCTATACTGACCCAGTCATCTGAAGGTGGCTTCTTTCGAACGAACTTATTTCCGACTGCATGCAAAAACTATACTCTGCTAAAAATGACGACTTATGTAGCATGCAATTTTCTCATTGATTTTCAATGGCCTTAAAAGTTCAATTATATTTCATGAAAAAATGCATAAAATATTCTTTCTTTTCTTTTTTCGGTAGAAAATTACTTCCTGTTTCAATTTTATACTCGAAGGAGGTGTATAATTCGGTTTCAGAAAAGTTCCTAATTGTGAAATTTTTTAATACCGTGAAATGACCGTTCATAGAACGTCATATACATGCATTTACCAATGTAGTTTGTAAAGTTAACAATATTGCTCAAATCCACTACTTAATTTTATGGACCCCGTATGGTCTTCTCTTAATACTGTAGAGAAATTTATGGTTTTGCGTACACGGAAAATATACGACTTGTAGATTTGAAACCCTGAAGGCAAGTGTAACGGCAGGTCGTGTTCAAAATTATTTGGGAATTGGAAAAGTTCTTGAAAACCGAATTATACTCTTCTTTCAAGTATAAAATTGGAAGAAGACGTGATTTTCTACCGAATGAGCAAAAAGCGAATATTTTTATGCACCTTTACCATGGAATATAGCCAAATTTTAAGGGCATCGAAAATCAATGAGAACAATGCATGCTATTTAAGTAACCATTTTTTACAGAGTGCAGTTTCTTCATGCAGCCGAAAAGGAGTTCGTTTGAAAGCCCGCACCCTGAGGTAACCGGATCATTAAAGAATTATGCTGCATGATGATTAGTTTTACAAGCCTATTTAATTAATCTTTTTCGAAACGAGAACGCATTTCGGAATTTCGGTTGACATTTCGTGATTTATCCCGCCTACTGTATGTACGACCAATGCTAGCCACCTGATCTACGAGGCTCTGATCGGAAGGTTGAGTTCGATCGCATTACTGTCAAGTAAACCGCCCAGCCTACTGCAACCTATGGAATCCACCAATTCTGATACGCTTAGCTGACTGCTCGAGCAGGATTTCCGAAGCCATCAATCTAGAATCCGTCAGATGACTACCAGGCTCATTTTGTCGGGACCATAATTGCGACTCCCTGTCAGCGTTTAATAGCTCAGGCGATTAAGGCGTTAGGCGTACGCTAGTCTGGTGCTATTCACTCACATCGTCGAAGACTACATGAACGCCTGTTGAAAAAGTAGAAGAAAACAACTCGCTGGGTTGCTAGGCATCTAATATAACACTGCAGTTAGAGGGTCGTCTGCTTCATGTGGTCTGTCTTCTCATGCAGTTTACGTGTATGATAGACCTGCCTAAAAGGACCAAACAACCATCTAGACTTATTCAAACACTTTTCCAACATAAGTGAAGAAGATTCGAGCACCGGAACACTGTGTTTATTGTCCTGAGCTTTCAGACACGTACAGCCACCAAAATAGTCGCCCACGCCGGAAAGAAAATAGGCCGAGAATTGATTGAAGCCTGGGCCTCGGATGAGAACTCGGTCAATCCATTTATCGATCTGGCGCCGGCGTACAGAGCCCCGCGTAGTCACCTCCAGTCTTACGCTGTCAGTCGCTGATTGGGCCTACATGCCTTATAACTGCCGCTTGTTCTGTTTCTGCTACCACCTCTGACAATGGACTCCTGTACGAGTCTGAAAGATCAGGACAATAAACAAAGTGTTCCGGTGCTCGAATCTTCTTCTTCACTTATGCATACACCTGGAACTCGAAATTTCGCCTTCACTTTTCCAACAGTCAACTTGTAACGCCTTGCTGCGTGACGTTTCTGTATGCATTCAGCTACCACCAGCGGGCTGTTGAATACGCATTTTATGCCTGGCGTGATATTTATCGGAGAAGTGCATTGTTGTCGGCATTTACGTCAACCAGTTTTGTATCCTACCATTGATGTCCCCCCCTCCTTTAGTTTAAAAAATATGCACGCCTTGTGCCTGCTGCAACGAACTTACGCGTGAGGGAGCAGCACGTCCGCACCCATTTATCCTGTCTGGGCAGCGTTCTTCTGGCCTGGCGTCTTTGCGCGCATTTGGGGTAGGGTAAGTGCCGACCAAATTAACGGCCTCCGCGGTTGTACGTGTCCTGCCGAGGGGGCCGAATTTGTCGAGGTATTTAAGCATCTGATACGCTATGATCAGTTAACCATGTCCCTCGCAGCTTGGTGTGGCAATTCTCTGGCACCTGGTCCGCTGCCGGCAGATGCGCTTGCACTCCCGCTGGGTATACAAGTCATGAGCGTGGCTGCCCAGTCATCGTCGCCGTCGTCTTTCTGACCCGGTCAAAATCATGGTTAAGCGCTCGTTGTGGACCAGGTAGTGTAGTGGCACGCCTAGCTGCGGGTCCGGTCGTTCAAGCCACCTGCGCTATCCCTCGCCTCGGGTCTTTTTGACATCGGACCCAGGTGGGGAGGAAGAGGGAGTGCAGTAGATGCTGCTAAAGTCTACTCCCACTATAAGCTTATTCACGCGCAAGTCATCGTGCCTGCTTAACTTTGCTGTGGAGCACACGGTGGACATCGTCGAGCAGAACGGTCGAACTGCCGGGTTGAATTTTACCCGGACAAAATTCTGCCCGACGGTGGCAGGCATTGGCACCCAAGGCCTACTAGGTTAAAGCCCTGGCGTCGGAGGCTTGCCGATTGGGATTAGGGGAAGTGCTCGTCTCATTGAGTCTCAGGGCTCAATGTGAAGTCCTCGCAGGCAGTCACACAGCAAATAATGGGATATGGAGAAGGATATTGCGAACAAAAATAAGAGAGGGTTGGGTAGCCACTTCTGGCTCATTAAAGGACGCCAGCCAAGACGATGGGCTCTTGGATGAGTGGTAGAGCGTTGGACTTAACGCTCAACAATCAAAGAATCCGGACCCGAATTCCAGGCCATCGAAACCCGTGACTGGATTATGGTCAAATGATACCGGAATGGAAACTTCTGGCTTATTAGCCGTCTTCAGCCAGCCATGCCCAATCCCGAGGTGTGCAACACCTGGGGCGCGATCACGCGACATGTTGGCTAGAAGTTCAACGCCCCCAATCACTGGCTCATTGTCTTGTCGGTTGCGACCGGGTATGCTAGCAATGGTAGAAGGGCCTTCACTGATCGCTCTATGGAACTCACTCGTTCCGTCGTGCCTTGGCGCTCATTCTCGAGCGCCGCCAGCAGCAGCACGATTATCAAAGTGCGCTGTAAGCAGTTCCGAAGACGAAGATGTGATCACATCTTCGTCCTCCGAACTGCTTCTTGGAACTCGCCTGTTCGTTTTTATCAGCTGTAAGCACTGCCGGCAAAGATAAACGACACTAGAATCATCATTTCCAACTTCCAAGCCGTCATCAGTCAGATGCACACAGCCCCAAGTTTGGAGCCCTCAGTATTTGAACCCGGGATCTTTGGTCATTGAGTGGAACGCCCCACCACAGAGTCAACATTGTTAATGTCCCCAGTCGCAAACGATAGCAAAACATGTCCGTGCTCCAATGGTAGATAGTTCGACCCAGTATTTCGAGTCCAAGAGTATTGTGCCGCTGTTGCTTTCAGGGCATACTTATGGTTGCTATGCGACTGTCCTCGTGGGTCCTAGATCGAACCCCAAGACACATCGGAACGAGTATTTTCCGTAACCACTTCGGTGAACTTAGTTCCAGCACAATATATTGTACGCAGACAATTGGCAGTTGGCCTCCAAACTGACGGAGAATTAGATCACCTAACTCTGCCAGCTGGTCCTGCTCAGCTGCTAAGAGTGCATCCGCGGGGTAACCCTGAGGCTTGTGTGACCAAAATGAAGGATCCCGGCCAAATATGATCGAAACGCGAGCATCATGCTCCGAAGGAAACACATTCCATGAGCGCTGTTCGAACTCGGGAAGCTGGGAGTTGTGCGTGCGCCTTAAGTCAAAAAGATGCCTGGAGGTCGCTAAAGACTGTCGCACAACTCGAAGTCAAAAATCTTCCTGAAAAAAATCAAGTAGTTTAACGTGGAAATATCGGAAAGTTTAAACAAAGAATTGTTAGTAGGCGTTATTACTGCGTTCCAGAGCGTGGAATCACAGGTTTGCAAATCTGAATTTTTAAAACCAATAGAACGTCTGATTTTCTAACGGTAACCCGCTTACTTCATTTAAATGATGAAAAACTTCCATTTTCAAGCGCGGTAAGTTTGGTTTGGTAAGACTGATGAGTTTAGATTACTGTCTTCTCGTAAAAATTAACGCGGATGCGCAAATCTAGCTGAGGATAGCCGTTATCACAGAGACCTCCGTAGTACAAGGTAACGTGGATTTCTGGGGTTGAGTATGACTGTCTGATGACGGTGAATAAGTCAGAAATATGTATCCCAGTCTCCCCAGTCTTCGTCTGAAGGTGGGCGTCGAGATCTTTAGCACAGACCAAGTGATTGGCTAATGCTGATGGAACTGCGAAGTTTAGATAAAGTGCTCCGTTTGAAGTTCGTTAGCTAGTCAGACGTTTGGGATGTTTTCCTTTCGGCAAGTGAAGAACGCATGAACTACACCTCTCCCCCCTACCTTAGCTGCACCAATGTCACGAACAGCTTTGTCAGCCCCAAAACATTGAGTGAAAACGAATGGAGACAGGCATGGAGGTCGCAAGTATCGTTAAACTTGTCAGTTCTTTAATTTAAGCCTGGGCATTGTAAAACGCTCTGTTTCTAAAACAGTCACAATGGCCTTATAGAGCAGAAAAACGACTGTCCAAGTAATGTGTAGCTCTTTGCACAGTAGAATAAATATGCCGGGAAAAGTTGCATTTAGCAAAGACCGCGGACACTTATTAGACGGACCAGTGGGCAGGTGACAGTCCGACTGTCGCCAACGCCGATGCCCACCCTGTACCGGTGACGCGGCTGCGAAGTAATGTATGGTGAGGCAGACTTGCGGGGCACTCTCCTCACTCATCCATTTTGCTCCGATGGCGGGGCGAAATCAGGGTGATCGGCGGTGGCCGCGGCTGACAAGCGAAACTGCCGGTCTACACGTACCACACACGCAATGCGGTTGACGCCGACGCCCACCGTGTGCCGGTGACTTGACTGCTAGCTAATGTATGGTGCGGCGGACTTGCGGGGCGTCTATCGCGCTCGCTCCCTATTCGCCCACTTTGTTCCGATGACAGGACGATGTCCGGTTGACCGGTGGTGATCGCGGCTGACAGGCGAAACTGTCGGTCTACACGTACCACACACGACTTGTTACCCATAAGGCAACTGGGGGTGTCGTAAAGTTTAGCAATGAGTCCATTTTCTCCGACGGCTTTGCTGACGAATTAGTTGAAGATTCTTGAAATTTCCCAGTTTGATTGATGGTACGAGACCTGCAATTGAAGTCGCAGAAGTATAGATGTCAGAATTACGTAGCGCAGCAGCCACCATTTCTTTTTCAAGTTTTGCTGATTCTGGCATGATTTCACAGAGAAGTGTAAATTCAACCAATCTAGTCAGGATATTTCTTGATCCTGCTGAAGCCATTTCCGTCTGACTGTCAAAACGTTGTTAAGGAGGTGGGCGCCGAAGCCTCACGAGGGACCGCTGAGCCAATACCACCTGTGTGATTGTGGTTGCTGGTAGACTTCCGTCTCTTTTCAGTTTAGTATTCGCAGATTCCTTTTTTCATTGAACATATATAAAATATTCACTAGTTATTTTCGCTTATTTCCATCTATTTTCACAGTTTCCTGTACTTGTGAATGCACCACCGTTACTCTTGTATAGTGTATACATTATAAGAGACCGGTAAGGCCCGAACACACAATGAAAGGAAATGTGTGTGCCTGAATATAGGGCTAAGAATAACAGTTGTGTGTCCGCGCCTAGCTGTTGGCCATTTATTTAAAGTAATGTAAAAGTGTCTTGGGATAATAGTCTAATGTAGGTTTGGTGTTGAACATATGAAGTAGTCAATCTTAAGCGTTTTAATAAAGGCATCAAGTATGATGGTAGAGGGCGCTCACCGATCGTTCTTACGGAACTCGCTCGTTCCGTTGTGCGTTACGGGCTCTCTCCCTCGAGCTCAACCAGCATCCACACAGCGGCGCATGATATAGGCACTATGTTATTACCGGGCTAACCACTGGGCTCGTGATCCAGTGGTTAGAGGCGTGAACTTCTGACAAACTGGTCGTGAGTTCGAGCCTCGGGTGTTGCATACTTCGCGGTTGAGTATGACTGACTGACGACGGCTAATAAGCCAGAAATGGCCATTCCAGTCTCCCTTGTCTTTTTCGGTACTAACATACTGTCGGCATCAAGTATTTGATGATTCCAGCTATTCGTGCGTGGCTACGGCCCCTGACCACCGCAACGACCGGGGGTCGACTGCACTCCCTTCGAATAATTGGCGTTTTGCCTGCGGACTTTCATTTTCCACTTCATATGCTTTTGAATTCTTATATGGACAATTTTCATCCGATCGTACAACTAGATATTCTTCCTCTTCCCCGTCCCCCCCTCCTCCCTCATCTTCCCCCCTTCATCCCACCTCTCCGCCCTCCCTATCCTCCTCTTTTCCTCTCATCCTCCTCCTCTGTCCCTCCGTCTTCCCCTCCTCCCCCTCCCGCCCCCCTCTCCGCGATAATTTGTTCAGGTGGAACTGGAAGTCGAGAGGCAGTTGTTGGCCTTCGAAGGACTTTTTGGCGTGCCGCCCTTTCGCGCAGATGGACATCAGCACGTGCACGTATTGCCAGGTTAGTCTTTGCCGATCATGGTCGCCCACTCTTTTCACGGCCTTGGCCAGCATGCATAGGTGACATTCAAACTGCCCTTAAAGGTGACAGTTAGGTCGAGGTCTCCCCACAATCACCACCGTGCATACAGTGCGTGACCTATCTCATGAAATGTTGGCTGAAATTCTGAAATACGTCTGCCGACTCTCTGGGCCTGTCAACCAGCTTGTGGAGTTTGACGCTGTGACTGTGGCAGCATGGAGCCCTTCTTCCGCATACGCGCCTGCACCAACGTGGCTATGGGTTTGTGGGAACCCAGCGCAGTCGGATAAACTCGTGCTGCGAGTCGGTCGGGCCCCCCCCCCCGCTTTCTTTCGACGCATGGACCACTTCCACTGCGTCTTCCGAGGCATCCCGTCAAAAGATCGAATGAAAACTGCCGAAACCACTCCCACCTTTACCAGCAGCAGGCGACAATGTTGTATGATGTGTCAGCGTCCCCCCCCTTCCCATCACCCCACTGTCGCGCATAACTACCGTTTTCTAAAAACATTGCAGCAGTCTCCCCGTACACATTTTAGCGACCTCCAGCCTGAAGTAGTAACTACCTCATATTTAAAGTCGTACCTTGATGCGCCATGTTAGGATTACCATTTGGTTGTACAGTGCGTAACCGATCTCGTGAAATGTTGTCCAAAAGTTTGAAATGCATTTTCGATTAGAAGGATTACTTAAGCGCAGTTGTAACACTGATTATCTTGTGACATAATCCTATAATATTTCGAACTCGGTAGGACGTTAGCTTTTGAATGCTCTGCTTTTCAATCTGCTGTAAAAATCGCACTCGGTAAAAAATGACTACGTATGTAGCATGCATTTTTCACACTGATTTTCGATGGCCTCGCAAGTTCACACATAGAATGCATGAACAAAATATGCTTTCTTTCGGTCGTTTGATAATCACGTCATCTGTTTTTATGCTCAAGGAAGGAGTACAATTAGGTTTTAAAAAAGTTTCCATTTATGACATTTTATGACCGTGCAATGTCCATTCGTACAGCACTGTAACTCTCCGTTTTCCACTGCTCCTCGTGAAATGTACAACATGGTCCGCATCCATTGCAAAATTTTATGGACTATATATGCTATGGAATATGTGATTTTCTTAATGCGGAACTCATGCACATTGCAGACTGAAATAACTAGGCGCTAATGCAACGGCTGATTAGGCTCTAAATTATTCGGGAATTAGAAAACTTTTTCGAAACCTTACCGCACTCCTTTTTCGAGTATAAAATATTAAAATAACGTAATCCGTTATCAAACGACTGAAAGAAAGCATATTTTGTTCCTGCACTCTATACAATATACAGTAGATGTGCTAACTCATGAAATGTCAACCAAAATTTCGAAATGCGTTCTCGTTTCGAAAAGATAAATTAAGAAGTGTTTTAAAACTAATCATGATGCAGCATGAATCTATAATGATCCAGTTACCTCAGGGTGTCGGCTTTTGAAAGAACTTATTTTCGGCTGCATGCAAGATCTATACATTGCGAAAAATGACTACGTAAGTAGTATGCAATTTTCTCATTGATTTTCGATGCCCTTGAAAATTCAATTATATTTCATGGAAAACATGCATAAAAATATTCATCCTTTTACATATTTGGTAGAAAATCACGTCTTCTGTTAAATTTCATACTGAGAAGAAGAGTATAATTCGGTTTTTAAAAACGTTTATAATTCCCGAATAATTTTGAATCCGACCTGCTGTTACACTTGCATTCAGAGTTTCAAAACTGCAAACTGTATATTGTCCGTGTACGGAAAACCATGTATTTCTCTACGGTGTTAAGGGGAGGCCATATGAGGTTCATAAAATTAAGCAGTGGATTTGAGCAAGATTAATAACTTTACAAGCCACATTCGTAAATGCAGATACATGACGTTTCATGAACGGCCATTTAGCGGTATTAAAAAATCTCCCAATAAGAATCTTTTTTAAAACCGAATTATAATCTTCTTCTGAGTATGAAATTTAACAGAAGACGTGATTTTCTACCAAATATGTAAAAGAATGGATATTTTTATGCATGTTTTCCATGAAATATAATTGAATTTTCAAGGGCATCGAAAATCAATGAGAAAATTGCATACTACTTACGTAGTCATTTTTCGCAATGTATAGATCTTGCATGCAGCCGAAAATAAGTTCTTTCAAAAGCCGACACCCTGAGGTAACTGGATCATTATAGATTCATGCTGCATCATGATTAGTTTTAAAACACTACTTAATTTATCTTTTCGAAACGAGAACGCATTTCGAAATTTTGGTTGACATTTCATGAGTTAGCACATCTACTGTAGGTGAACTTGCGAGGCCATGGAAAATCAGTGTGAAAAATGTATGCTACATAAGTAGTCATTTTTGACCGAGTGCGGTTTTTACAGCAGATTGAAAAGCAGTGCATTCAAAAGCTAACATCCTACCCAGTTTGAAATATTATAGGATTATGTCACAAGATAATCAGTATTCCAACTGCGCTTCCTTCCTTATCGAAAACGCATTTCAAAATTTTGGCCAACATTTCATGAGATCAGTCACGCATTGTACGTAGTTAACTTAAGGACGCAGTTTTTGCATGTCGATTGTTGTGGTTTTGTTTAAGATTAGTAATCTAAGCCATCTGTTGTTGCTGCATATTAATGTCCTCTGGCTGAACTCGACCTGTTGTTGGTTTTAAGGAGTTCGCGAGGTTCTCGCTCGTCTCCTCCCGCGTCACGGTGTTCGTTGGATTCGCGTCCCCGAAGAGGCTCTTCTGATTGGCGGAATATCTGACGACGAGCTCGCAGGACTGGGTAGGCATAGCAAAAGTACAAGAAGTAGTCCTTGTCGCCTTCGTTTATTTATTGCCTGCCTCTATGCCAACTATTTGTTTGCCAAATATTAATGTTGTGGCTATTTATTTGCCGAATCCAACGCAGTTGGCCTTGCCCGGTCGGTGATCCTCCATCCCGAGTGAGTGTGTAGGGCTCGGCGCGGGGCACACACTAACATGAGATTACGTAGCAAAAATTCACCAGAAAGCCAACGCGTTGTTAACCTTTAAAATGCAGCAATCCCAACGCTAACTCGCGCTGCCATGGGTACAATAAGCTCGCCCACACTTTTCGAGGGCAGCTGCTTTTGCACTACTGAGAGACCGAGGGGAGGAGGGCATGTCGTCCGAACCCCCATCAATGCGGTCTTGCGTCCTTAAAGTACTGGCAGTTACTGGAACCCAGGAGCCATAGCTGTCCTCATCCTTCGCGAAACGTCACGAAGGTCAAATCCTCTCAGTTCTAAAAAGAAGTTTCTGTCAGGCGCTGTTAGGCCATTAGTTTGCTGACGAAAACTCGATTAAAGTCATGACATTTTGAACAGTCAAGGCTTCTGTCCCCTGAACTGGCTTCCAGAATTGATTGACGGATTTCTGCTTTCAATACTTTGATTGGTTCTCTGTCTAACTGATGTGAGGGCGATATGAATGTCCATGTCAATGTGCCGAATTAAAATATCACTCCTTTGACAGCCCGGTATGTAGGCATAGGTGCGGACAACTCTTCAAGCTTCGGACATCATTTAAAGGCCGTAACAGATTTCGAGCCCCCGTTCTGTGTACTGGGGACGACACCCCGTGTCCTTTCATACCGTTGTACCCCACTGACACATTTCCCAGGCCATGATCAAAACTCCCACAAAATGTGCACCGCTTAAGCAGTTATAGAATCGATACGAACCACCGAGTCGATGTCAAGAAAGCATTTCAGGTTGTCTACCGGACACCAACATGCTTCTCTAAAGGCCTACGCCAACGGATACTAGCAACGGCCGAGGCAGTAGCGATACGGTTAGTGAATCCGGTGTTATGCTGTCAAAAAACTCTGACACAAGCGCTTTCGCTGCCGTGGCCAACGCCAACCCCAAGTGATGAAGCCATGCCGCCTCAAATCCCTAATCACGATGATGGGTACTCCGTGTACTCAACCCAAGAACATTACTCAAAGACTCTCTTACCTCCTTCCCCTAGCTCTGATGACTAACACCCGCCGACCTTCTCATGCGGGCGGCGTGGGGATAATTAGTGTTAGTGACTTAATAGCCCTTGAGGCATCTATAAACACTGTTGATTTTGTACATTTTCATTCGTTCATGTAATTGTACTGGCCTGAGGAAGAATTACCGAAAACGTGCGTTCGCCAACTTGACTTTTCAGCTATAAAAACATTGACAATTCCTTTAGTTCCTTTATCAGCTCTGAGTAGGAGAGAGTTATTTGGCCATTTTGCAGGCTGCAATTGTTAGCAGGTCCTGATGGTTCAAAGCAAGCATAGGTTTTAGGGCACAAAGCTTCATTCAAAAACGCCATTATAATCCAAATGGCTGAATCTGTCTGAACGTTATGGCTTTAAAAAAATTAATAAAATATGTAAAGAAATCTCCCTCCATTCGTTGAGGAAATACTGATGCAAGTCTATTGGGCCGTGATTTCATAAGCAGAATTCAGGCGGGCGTGCCCGTCATCTACCTCACTCCTGTCCCCGCCATTAACCCTTTCAGATGGCCACTTAAGGTCAAGACTGCCGGATCTGGGCGCAAGCACAGTGGCTAACAAACCCAAACGGTCCGTTTACGCGTGCCAAACACGAGCTCCTCTCCACAGCCTTTACCAGACTGTTGTAAAGAGGGGTCGGATTTCAAATCAGTGAGAATGCCAAAAAGGTCACCCTAAGAAGGAACTATTAGAGCTCAGTCTTGAGAAGGATTGAGTTGTTCCATCAGCTGGCAAGCTTCCAAGCCACGACTCTTGGTGCGTCGTGATAGGTTCAAACGCGTCAGCTCTATTATAGGGAGGAACGCGATTATGCTTTGTGAGGTTGGACCCCCGGGCGTCGACTCCACTCCCTCTTCCCTCTCCAATGCTCCAGTCATTTGTCAGAGTCTTTCAAAAAATGTGTGACAGATGTGGGCGCAATGACTGGCGCGGCATGAAGTCTGGTGTCCACTAAGTACCGCCACAGGCATGTAGAACAGTGCTTATTGGCTCGCGCGCACTCCGCCCAGCCCGATTAACGCGCACCGTGAGTCAGTTTGACACCCGTTTTGTCCCAACGCATCTACAGCGCAGTCCGTTGTGGGAACCTCTAATTTATCTTAGCGAGAGGTGATGCATTAGCGCGTTTGATTGCGAAAGTCCCTCTGTTTCATTGATCCCTTTGTGCTCTGGCTCCGAGATCGGACTGTGGCTGGTTGCGGGAAGCGAACTTCCACTCACAGACGCTGTATCGTCTTCTCCATCTTGAAAAGTCCTAACTGATCTCTGTTCAGGAGAACGCCGATATTCTACAGTCCTTAGCCGCCTCTCTCTCACAGGAACCCGTTCACTCGGAAGCCCGTTTGTCCGCTAATTTTAATCAGCAGATATCCCTGCTGTCTGCTGTGTGGCGCTCTTTTTGTCTTGTTGCACGCCACACACACACAGGTCCCGCAGTGACGATCGTTTACTCCTCTGCGGCTTTGTCCTGAGAGCGAATGCTTCGTTCACACTGCGTGACGGCTGGTTTGCGGGTCCAACTCTGCGTCTGTCTCACCCCAATGGCGACCCGGTTTCCGCTGCTCTCAACTACCACATCGCCTTCCCTGTCGTTAGGGGGTGTTGGTTTATGACCTCTTCTCGCACAACTTCACACACGTTTTTATTGCACGCACTCGAGTCCTCGCATAGCGCAGCAGAATAAACTTTTCTCAAGGGTTGAGTCTTGAGACCGCCAGACGCTTTTAGTAATGTGCAAGACAGAGTTTTGAAGGACTGTCCCCCCCCCACCCCCGTATTTTGCTACGGGATGGAACCAACTTGAAATTTCCGGCTAACGGAGAGAAAGTGGACTCCGTGAAGCTGTTAAGAAGAAGAAGAATCGATCGCTGCGGCAGACAGTTTTGTGCGCCTGCTGTTTCAAACCCCCTACTCGAACTCCGCATGACAGACAGCACCGCAATTATGCAGTATGGATTATGGAATGCAGTTACTATTGCCACCGCACAGCTAATATAATTAGCAGCTCACGCAGATGTCTATGCTTACCACGACTACTGCTTAGCCAACCGCATCTTAGTATTTAATGACCGCAACCGCATCACTGGAGTTGACGATTGACATGACAGGGTTGCTGAATTACTATTTCCTCGACAGGTTCTCTGAGCAAATTTATTCCCCGCGCAACTTCATCAACAGATGTACGCGAAAATAAGCGAGTGTTCAGACCGTTCGGGATCCTAATTTTTCTTGGGATTTCATACATCAGCAACATGAAGGACGCCGCTAACCTCTTACCTGGACGCCACACACATCACGGGCACTCGTCGGTTGCTACGTAGAGGCTGAAACATCACCTCCACAAGGAATTCCCTGAGTTGCTCACTGAATCCTTGCCGCTGTATGCTTAGCAATTATCATAGGGAAAGTCGAATACCACTCCGGACGCGGACGACTGAACACGCGCCGTCAGTGGAGGGTTATGATGACAACTGTCAGATTTTTGTTCTCTAAATGGGACGCGATTACACCTTCGGGTTTTTTTGAGGCCGAACTTATCGCGAGTGTGTGTAATCGCCGGAGTCGTGAGCTGCTTGTGTTGTGGTTCCGGGGCCCACAGTTTATCAGCGGTCCCTTCATACTCGCTGCTACCACTTTGTCCGGCCAGAATAATTAGCCACTCGAAGGACCGACAGGGGAACACTGTTTCCATCGTCGATATCGATCGACCTAAATGCTGGGTATCACGCCAATCGACAAGTTGGTGTTCGTAAATGCATGTAGAGGCGGATTTGCCTGTTTGGACCCAATAAACTGCATCACAGGCTTCACTCAGGACCTGTTAGATGAATTCCTTTTTATCCGAATAGCCAACCCTACCTTAGTCTGTGTACCACAGGAATTTGGTGTTTCCCTAGGTGCCTTCCAACGAGTTCAGACACATTTTTGGTGCAAGGTGTGGGTATCTTTCCTCATAGAACGCATTTGACTTCACCTTATATTTCTTGGAATGCCTACTTTCCAATACATACTCATGAATTACGACCGCACAGTTTTACTTCAAGCCAGACGATGGAACATGTGCAATTCGCTGAATTCTAACGCGAGAACAGTTATCATTTCTACACAGATGCCAAAACAGGAAGAGTTTGCCAAAATCCATCTTGAGAGACCAGTTTAAAGAGGTATTCCATCTCCACTTAGAAATTTTCTTCACCAAGCAGTCCGTTTTAACTTTATTTAGCAGGCTGTAGAAAGAACTCTATTTTTGAGACACAGGATGTTAATCTCAAAATTTAAGATAAACTATAGATGTCCCTTTGCGATAAGCTGATGTCCGAAGTGACTCTTGCGTTTTTCGATTTGTAAGGACATCCAGGAATAGAATTTGTCCGTAAACCCTCGTTGCAAACGTGGACTCTACACTTCCACGGGTCGAGTTTACTCCGTATGTATAAACCCGTAAGGAATCACGCTTTCTGTAAACGGAATCCAAATGCCACTGAACACTGGAATGCGCGTACATTACTGCAGCTTTCAAAGATTTGCACGTTTAAGCACCAAACGCCTTTAAGACACGCTCCCCTACAAAACGACAGGCGTTTATAGCCCGACTAATGCAAATTCCCTCGGGGAACTCACAAATTCTTAAATCACTGGAACTCTTTCTCGCGGTTTAAGTGACATTTTTACACCACGTAAGCAAGGATTGTGGGGAAAAAAGCCTTATTTCTGTGCTTCTGGACTCGTTATCCGACTTTTACTGGCAGTCATCTCCGCAGGAAGTGCACCTCATCTTCATTTTTTGACCCTTTTGGGTGTGCTCTCCTCCTCATTGGCGCACACTTTGTTTTCAATTCCAGTTGATCAATCTGCCCTGACGTTCTACCGCGAAGTATCGGATCAGGCTGCTGTTGCACGAACGATCTTTCAATCTGCTGGGTTACGGTAGGTCACCCCATAAAGGTCAACTGCAGGCTTACCCTTCTCGGCAAAACACCAGCATTCGAGCGCGCAAGGTGCGTACGTCTGCGTGTTTTCCTCTGCCAAAAACGGAACGCCGCCGTCATTTCCCGCGCCATAAAGGCCTGCATTCAAGCAGGTCTCGCGGGTCTGATTGCCATAGCAGCGAAAACTTGGCATAGGACGCACCAGAAATCCTGAAAGGGCTCTAAATTATTCAATAATTGATATATATATATATATTTTATATATAGTAATTTATGAGATGGTACCGACAAAGACAAGGGAGCCCGGAATGGCCATTTCTGGCTTATTAGCCGTCATCAGCCAGTCATACCCAACCCCAAGTGTGGATCACTTGAGATTCGAACCCGGGATCTTTGGTCATGGAGTTTGACGCTCTACCACTGAGCCACGGGCCCGTTGTCCTGTCGGTTGTGATCGGGAATATTAATTATGATAGTGGGCGCTCACCGATCAGGTTACGGAACATGCTCGTTCCGTTGTGCCTTGGGGCTCATACTTAAACCCTCGCAGGCAGTCGCACAGCGACTAGTAGTAGATATAGATGAGCCCCAAGGCACAACGGAACGAGCATGTTCCGTAACCTGATCGGTGAGCGCCCACTATCATAAATAGTAATTTATATTTTTATCTCAAATTATTATATAATAATTTGAGATGAAGAGACGCTGCTGAGAAGGCCCTAGAAGGAGAACTATTAAAGTTTTTTTTTCACCGCACGGAATCTGAAGACTGGGCGACTGAACGCCTTTTACTACTCACTATCAGATCACGGTAGAGCAGCTGAAAGGGAAAAAAGATCATAATCGAACGATTGCAAGGCTGGTAGTGGAAATAAAGTTGAGGTTTTTCTGGACTCTGCTCTACTTCCGAGGTCAAGGTACGAGGGGAAGGGCGTTATGGAGATTTGTTTTGGTCTAGTCGCTGTAACCTGACGTGGTACGCCGCGGGTAGAAATATGCGGATGTCGATTTAGGCCAGGGTAACTTAAGGAAGGGAATGGGAGCCTTTTGCGAGCTCAAGGTGAAGGTGGCTAGCCGTATGGCTGTCGCCTCTTCCGACGCAAATATCCGCTAACGCGGAAATTTTGTAGTGTCTCGCCGGCACCTCGTTCGTGACTCGAGGTGCTTGATTGACGTCTACTCGGTAGCCGCTGCCAGCGTGAGACAATTAAATTACATTCTTACTGCTTTTTGTTCTGCCAGCTTCAAAACACAGGCCTCTTTCTTCTATCAAAACCTGACTGTTCTCTTTTACCATAAAAAACTGTGTTTGCCCCAAGTTGCCGAAACTAAGTCATGGCACAAGATGGATAGATAAGCTGGCAACGATCGCTTGAAGGACCCCAAACACTCACGACCAGCCAAAGGTGCCTATCCTACGGTAATGGTGGTAAAAAGGATTTTACGGGCGAGGCCTATGTATGCGTAGGGGAATGGCAAAGTAAGTATAAATAATTGGCAAAGTCGTTTTTCAGGCGGAAAATTTTTAATTCAGTGACGTGAAAGTAACCGGAATTAATCAGGACAATCAAAAAATAAACACTACGTGTCTACAACGATCGCCTCTCAACTCTCTGAGCTGCGGTCATTGTAGATAAGGCACCGGACCGTCTACAACAGACGACCAAACCTTCTGCGATGAAACACCAAACCGAAATAGTCGTGTCGGACTAAAACCCACTTAAATTAGCATAGTACGTATTCTTTGTATGCCACAGATGCTTGGGGTCCTTCAACCGATCCTTAGCGATAAACTTTCCAATATTGTTTAGCCCAACTTTATAATTTAGGAGTTAGAATAGCACTGCGACTGTGGTAAAGCATCGGATAAGGATGGTCCGCCAACCCGCTGTTTCGCGAACAGAGGAACTCTACTCTGCCGGTAAAAGATCACGCGGAGGTCTCTGGTGGAAGATGAGTAGTTGTCTGTTAGCGTTCACAGTGAAGGACGGAGCGTGAACCCTGGATGCACGTGGAATGGCGCATCGCGAAAATCAAACCGCCAGATTTATCGGCCTGACAAAAATAGCCGTGCGAGCTTTGTGGACTTTTGCAAGTGTCGACGTCTAGCGCGCGCGCGCCCCAGTAAGTGCAGCAAAGGCGACTTGCACAGCATCCACCGCACTCTCCCTTTCCTCACTGACCTCACTCCGATGAGAAGGCAATGTGTGTTGGCGGCCGGATGTGATCTCGGGCGTTTCACAGGCAACATGGTCTCACTGCATGTTCCAGACTGCTGTCAGAGCGTTTTGAGTAGTTGATTCGTCTACCCATCTTCAGAGACAGGGAAGTCCTGAGCATGGCTCCCCTGATATGGCGGACTTTGTTCAATGCGTGACCCACCAATGCCGCCTATGGAACGAATCTTCAACTTTGACGCCGTTGAGATTGTGGGCCGGGGCGGTGATCATGCAGCAAGGCAAGTGCATGAAGCCTGGATGTCCACCGACTGCTCTGTCAACTGCCATATCAGTTCGCCTCCACCCTATCTGAATTTACGAGCCTTTTTAACGGGGGACAGTCACGGCGCGGGACAATCGGTGCCGTCAGTCATCTCCACGACCGACGGTGGCGATCCAGGTCACGGCGACATGCCGGTTGGATGCAGCCGCCACACAGGCGGCATTGGCGGGTCACGCATTGAACAAAGGGCGCCATAATAAGGAGTGCTGTGCACAGGACCTCCCAGTCCCTGAAGATGGGTAGACTAATCAAGTACTCGAAACCTCTGACCTCCAATAAACCCCTCCCGGTGAACGCCACTTCTTCTTTTGATATGCCACCTGGGAATCGCATTTTAACTGCTAGTCATGCGTACGTCAAGTCATTTTGAGCACGAACTTGGATATATCCATCGTCACATGATCGTGAGTTCTTTGATAAGCCCACCGTACACGAAGAGTTCCTTGCTTTGGCCGTCTATTTTGACCGCACTGTTGGGTTTACTCCCGTCACTATTGTTATCGAGGAGATGAACTGACTCACCGGAGGATCAATGCCCCTTGTGTGACCATTTGGCGGCTTGCCAGTTAATGAAGCAGAGCCACTTGGGCCCCTGGTGCCGCTTTATTGAATGACCTTCCGATAAACACGATTCGTCCAGTCGTGTTCTTGTCATCTTGGTTGTGCCCAAATCGACGACAGCTTTCCTCACATCTGACTCCGGACTCAACTTCCCCTCATTCTGTAGCTGCTACCAAGGTCACAAGAGATCCATTGCAATGCGCAGAGGAGGTTTGAATTTTAAAGAAACGTCCTTCACCGATGTAGGTACGAGGCCTGTTCGCCCCGTTGTATCTTGGAGCTTAGTCTAGAGTTCCGTAGGAGATCGCATAACAACCATTAGTACAGTAGGTGTGCTAACTCATGAAATGTCAACCAAAATTTCGAAATGCGTTCTCGTTTCGAAAAGATAAATTAAGTCGTGTTGTAAAAGTAATCATGATGCAGCATAAATCTATAAAGATCCAGTTACCTCAGGGTGTCGGCTTTCGAAAGAAATTATTTTCGGCTGCATGCAAGATCTATACTCTGCGAAAAATGGCTACTTATGTAGTATGTAATTTTCTCATTGATTTTCGATGCCCTTGATAATGCAATTATATTTCATGGAAAACATGCAAAAAATATTCATTCTTTTACTTATTCGGTAGAAAATCACGTCTTCTTCCAATTCCATACTCAAAAAAGAGTATAATTCGGTTTTAAAAAAGTTTCTAATTGTGAGATTTTTTAATCCCGTTAAATGGCCTTTCATGAAACGTCATGTATCTGCATTTACGAATGCGGCTTGTATAGTTAACAATATTGCTCAAATCCACTGCTTAATTTTATGAACCTCATATGGTCTCCTTTTAATACCGTAAAGAAATGCATGGTTTTCCGTAAGTGGACAATATACAGCTTGTAGTTTTGAAACCCTGAATGCAAGTGTAACAGCAGGTCGGGTTCAAAATTATTCGGGAATTAGAAAAGTTTTTTAAAACCGAATTATACTCTTCTTTTGAGTATGAAATTGGAAGAAGACGTGATTTTCTACCGAATAAGTAAAAGAATGAATATTTTTATGCATGTTTTCCATGAAATATAATTGAATTTTCAAGGGCATCGAAAATCAATGAGAAAATTGCATGCTACTTAAGTAGTCATTTGTTGCAGAGTGTAGATCTTGCATGCAGCCAAAAATAAGTTCTTTCGAAAGCCGACACCCTGCGGTAACTGGACCATTATAGATTTATGCTGCAACATGATTAGTTTTACAACACTACTTAATTTATCTTTTCGAAACGAGAACGCATTTCGAAATTTTGGTTGACATTTCATGGGTTAGCACATCTACTGTAATCCAAAGATATTTCTGTCAAGTTATGGTGCTGGCTTTTGAATAAGCTTCTTTCCGGCCGTTTGCAAAAAAATAGGCTTTGCGAAAAATGGCTACGTACGACGTGTGCATGAACCAAGAATCAATCTTCTCTTTATGAATTAAATTTAGCAAAACGTTAACGTTTTATATCGTTAAACGCAGTAATAGACTTGTTCGAACGTACTTGTTTTACTACACCGAGAACTAGTAGGTGTAAACACGTATATATGGACACTTAAAAAGGACAATCGACAAAGTACTGATGCGTTGTATTTGTTAATATTTTCCATCATTTTGTCGTTTTATGACGTCCCCTTCTCTTCTGACATTTATATTAGGCCTTGAACAATTAACATGTCATAGAGTCGTCTTTTGATTTGGCAGTTTTTGTAAAATGAATTATTTCTTAGTCAGTAAATAATACTTTAAAACATCAAACCGTGCCTTATTTTGAAACCCGGTCGTATATTTAACGCAGTATATCTTTCGTGGATGCGGAGTGGACGCTTCGTGCGCTACGGCGGTTTAAGTTCATGGTTCGTGATCTTTCATCAGATAGGTCGCGAACTGTATCTTTGCAGGATTAACCAGAAACCAGGTTATAGAAAGTTGATATTCTCGATCGCAGTTGACAGGACAACAAGCCCATTTCTTAGTGGTAGAGCGTTGGACATAACGCTTATTGACCAAAGAATCCGAGTGTGAATCCCTGATTATTCAGACCTGAGACGGGGGTGTGGGTGCTTATCCTCCTTTCATCCCAAACTTGATCCCCGAGGAGTCTTTCCTGGTGGGAGGTACCCACTAATGTGTCAATCCTCCCAACTTACCGCTTCCCTCTTTCACCTTCTCTCGTTTGTAGGTGCACAGACGCCTTTGCAGGCATGCTTACGATGGGCAGAAACTTGACCGCTGACAGTCTTAGACGCAGTCTCACTGCCATCTTGAAGCGGTCCCATGCCCCCACAGTCGAGTTGATGACTCATCCGGGTTATCCTTTGACGGAAACGGGCCCAGAAAACCAAGGCTGTGCTGATAGTCTCGGACCGGACGACTTTTCCCGCTCCATTGACCGTGCCCATGAGATGGCCGTGCTTCAGAGTAGCAAATTCAGTGAAGTTGTGAGGACCTTTTCTGGACAGCTGTACGGTTTCAGGGATTTTGCATGAAAATACATGACCCACATCTGTCTTGATAGATGCTTTATGCAATTTTTCTCCCTCAACGACTCATTTTTCTGTCCTTTCTTAGAACACCTACGTCTAGAAAATTTTTGAAATTTCATTACTCTTCAAAGGCGTAATAATTGTATTTCCAAACACACACGCACGCGCGCGATAGTTCGATCGTCGATTTCGACGCTGTCCACCGTATGCCCCACAGCAGATGGCGGGAGCAGGGACGGTGACTTGCGCAGGGGTTTATAGTGCCAGTAGACCTGTGCCGCATCTACTACACTCTCTCATTCTCCCCCTCCTGAGTCTGATTTTAAGGCAGAGTCAAGACGACCGGAGACGAGTGAGGCCGCAGGTGGATTGGCTTGGACGGATCCCCACCTTGGCGCTCCACTCCGCACCGCCTGGTCCTCTCAACAGATGACCAGGATTTTAAACCAACAAAAACAATGGGATGATGGCAGTGGTCCATGTTGTCCGACGACCGCTGACAACAGGGTCTGCTAGCGCACCCTGCAAGTGTTGGCCTTTGTTATTGCGCAAAGATAACGTCTGTCAGAATCCGGTGTTGCCCCCCGTGTTGATCCAGCGCATCTAACACGTGGCCTGTTTGGGGGACACACACACATTTATATGACACTGGTTTCCCCTTGCCTCCAAAGCAGTTACTAGTTAAAAACCCAGACGAGTGTTTCGCCGAAGTTGCTGTTTGACAGAGCTAATGCAAAGGGATTCGGCTCCTCAGTTGGTCTCTCTATATGCATGTATTCCTTGTTGCTATGCCGACTGTCTACGAGGATTTTGTATGTTGCTTCAGGAAGCAAGGGTATGAGGTATCCCGTCAGTTGGCAGCCTTTTTAGTCTCGACTTTTTGCACTGCGTACATCTGCGCATCCGGATTTTACAGTGCCAAGCTTATATTCCTGGTTACTATGCCGACTGTCTTCGAGGGTTCTGAATTTGGATTCAGAAAGTAAGGGCTGGAGTCGTCCCGTCAGGTGGTGGCCATTTTAGCCTCGACTTTTAGCGCTTCGTATCGGATGCAAGCGCGCCACTTCTGTTATAGTAAAGAATGTGCTAAAGTGCCGTGAGCTTGGCCTTTTGAGAGCCAGAGCACAGAAGAAGGATCTGAAGAGGGTCTTCACGGAGAAGTAGAAACTGGCAACTTCGAGGGGGAAGAGGACGCCGCCGATCGGAGATCCGATGCCTGCGGCGACAGCAGCTGATATCAACTAGGTAAAAAAAACAAAAGGCAGACGAAGATTCTTAAAAGTCGGAATCGTTAGCACTGCTCGGGGGAGATGCAGTGTTTGGTGAAAAATGGATATGTCCTTACACATACAGTGTAACTCTTCGCATACTGCTCGAAGTGCAACCTGTGTTTTCGCAGCTCTCGATGGCTTCAAGTGTGAATCCAATCGACACGTGCGACAGTGCTCGCTGTGTACCCCATGCGAGGATATGGGGTCACTTGTGCGTGAATTAGTTTGGAGTGATAGCAGGCTTTCGTAGCGCCTATCGCACTCTCTCCTTCACCCACCTGGTCCCGATTGCGGGATAATTAGGATGACCGGAGACGACCCCGGCCGCAGTGTCTGACGAAACCGAACAACCGGCTCACACGTGCCACACACAAGCCAATCCTCCTAAAATGGACCAAGTTTTCACAGGAACATGGGAACGACTGGGGTTTCACTTTCGTGAGTGTCATACAGGCCATATTGAGCCACCGAACCAGTCACCCCGCATGCACACGGAACTGACTAAGAAGGTAGAGCTATCCCGTCAGTTGCAGCCTTTGACTTTTAGAGCGTCCTAACGGATGCAAGCGCACCATATCCACTATAGTGAGGAATGCGTTAACTTGCCGTGGGCTTGGCCTCTCTAGGTCGACTTCACTCTCTCCCCTCCCTCTATTCCAGCCACCGAGCCGGAAGAAGAGCCGCTGGAATGGATTCCATTTACTACCAGGCACGCATGTCAACTACCATAAAGCATGGGACATTATTGCGGATATCTACTTACCGGTGCAGTGGATATTGCAGCAAATGATGAAGGTGGGGTCGATTCGTAGTCTGGGGCAACAGATGTATCATTAAGAACATATAACGAAGCACGTTCAGTTCAGTTCACTTTTATTGAGGGAAATGTAAATCTTCACTGTTGAACTCCCTATTTGTTTACAAGCAACTGCAAAATCTGAAAAACTGGAAAAGGTATCATAAAGGTAACAAATAATCGGAAAAGCGTCAGCATTGTACAGATAAACAAACTGTCTCGAATGTTAGTGGTACGAGCAGTTGTACAGCGGTCGTTTCGACTTCAGGGAAATATATAATATACCCGGTTTCACGTATCAGAAGTCAGCCCTTAAAGGGCGAAAAATTCACGACCTTCACAACGTCAGGTCTTCTCAGTGGGAATCACTAGTGCAGCTGGGAGAAATTAAGCCTTTCGTTCAGTCTTCGCAACCTGGGTGGCTAACCTATCACAGGGGCTTCTACCGCAAACGTCCTCCTCAAGTGCCAAGTTCCATTTTTAACAGAATGAGATCTGGCCGTAGATGATAAAGCATGAAGAATTTGGAGACGTTAGATAACTCGAGACGTCCCTTTCAAGTGCGAAAGGTTATTGCATGGTAAACAAAACCAGCAACGGGACGAGCCTGAAAGGTGTACCTGCTCCATACGACGATGATTATTCTCGATGGCGACCGACAGGACAACTATCCGGAGGCTCCACGATAGAGGATTGAACTTCAAAAAACGTTCAATGACCAAAAGTCCGGGTTCGAAACAGAAGTTGAAGACGGCTACCAGGACAGTCTTTGTCGGTATTTCTTTCTGAAAGCAGTTTGGAGCCAGACGGGATGGCAAATCCCCGTTAGCATGAGCGTGCAGTGTTTAGTCAGGCAAACAGAACTAAGTAGACGCAGTCTTACCGCTTACGCATCCAATGAAAGCCACAACCTCATAAATATTCTGATGGACAGAAATTTCTGATTGAGCGTATGATATCAGTGGACGTGCAAATGCCGTTTGCCAACGTGCCGCGGAAAAAATCCGCTGGGTTATTTGCAGGCAGCGTCTGATGAAGCCGAACAGCAGGCTCACACTTGCCACACATATGCCGATCCTTGTACAATGGGCTAAGTTTTCACAGAAACGTGGGACGATTGGGGTCTCACTTTCGTGAGTGCCATACAGGCCAATTTGAGCCACTAAGCCCGAATTTCAGCCCTCGAGCCAGTCACCGCACATACACACAGAAGTGACCACGAAGGTAGAGTTGTCCCGTCACTTGGCAGCCTTTCGAGTCAAGACTTTTAGCACGCCTTAACTGATGCAAGAAAATATTCCTGGTTACTATGCCGACTATCTTCGAGGGTTCTGAATTTTGATTCAGAAAGTAAGGGCTGCAGTCGTCCCGTCAGTTGGTGGCCATTTTAGCCTCGACTTTTAGCGCTTCGTATCGGATGCAAGCGCGCCAGTTCTGTCCTATTGAGGAATGCGCTAACGTGCCATGAGAATGGCCTACTTAGTGTCGACTTCATTATCTCCTCTCTCTTTTCCATGGACCGAGCCGTTAAGTTATTTGGCGCTGAAAAGGATTCAACTACTACCAGAAACGCACTTAAACTACCATTTAGCCTGGGATGCTGCTGTGGATATAAACTTATCTGTACGGTAAATAATGTGGCAAAAAATGAAAATGAGATCAACTCACTATATGCAACAGGCCAGGTCTTCTCTATGAACATCATTAGGACGCCTGGGCAAACATAATTCTGACGTAAAAAGTAAGCATTTAATTCAGTATTCCGCGAGTTCTTGCTGTATCACAAGCTGACTGGCTAACTGAGTACGAATGCCAGGCTTCGTTTCTAACAGAGTGAGATTAGGCCGAAATGGCAAAGCTTGAAGAAGTGGGCGACGATATTCATCTCGAGACCTCTCCATCAAATGCAAACATCATTGCATGGATAAATAAATCCAGCAACGAAATGAACATGCACGTGCGCTGACCGGCGAACGCTCTCACAACATTGTTGGTCTTCTCGATTATATCCGAGTTGACAGCGAGATCACGGCTCGATGATAAGGCGCTGAACTACTCAAGATCCCACGAACACAGTGCGCGGTCTCGAACCTCACATATCGCTAAACTAGGGCTGGGTGAGAAGGGCTGACGACGTTTGAAAAGTAAGAAACCGCGGTCTCATTCTTCGTTTTCTTTACCAGTACTCATATAAATATATATGTATATAAATATAGGCAGAATAGTATTACCGACAAAGAAAAGGGGGACTGGTAATACTATTCTGCCTATATATCATGCGCCGCTGTGCGGCTGCTGGTTGGGCTCAAGAGAGAGCCCTTAAGGCACAACGGAATGAGTGAGTTCCGTATGAACGATCGGTGAGCGCCCCCTACCATTGCATATAAATGTATATATAATGGACATATTGTGCACCAGGACTTCGTTCTCCTCTTGAGATGATTTGCTTATGCTTTGGAGCTTGACCGCCAGCTCGGCATCTCTCGTTGCTCGCAGGTTCCGGGCCCGTTTGTTAATCACTTGTTGCAACTGCGCGACTCCGTCATCACCGATGAGTTCGACGCACTTTGTTACCGCCTGGCTCAAAACCCTGCTGTATTTACGCAGTCGAAGATGGCAATCCTGGAGAAGCGCCCGAATCATTCGTCTGCCATGTTCAGCCTCCCACCGTTTAGCCAGACTTGTGTTCACCGGTGGCCTGTACGACAGGCTCTTCGCAAGCACATGCTTGTCAAGGCATCTGTGGAGGAATTGTATTTGCGCGTACGTAGAAGACACACGAAAGGTGAATATTTCCCAACGTCGTGCAGACTCAAGCGCTTCGCGCCCGAAAATATTGCTAATACAAGCAAAGATGCGCGTCCCCGGACATAAATGAAAAGAAAGGGCGATCTCGGGAACCACTGTTTTACTGCCCTGACGTTTCAAAAGCATCG